AAATAAACTAAAAAAAAAAAAAAAAAAAAAAAAAAAAAAAAAAAAAAAAAAAAAATATATATATATAGCCCCAAAATAAAACGTGATAACAGTAGTATAATCAACCTATTGAGTCTTGTTATTTTCATTCAGTTTATTACTGCTAATCATAAACTTTGTTATAAGTGCATTTTAGACAGTTTTAGACAGAAACTGAAAGCGTTACAACTCTGTTATTCTGTGTGTGTGAGCGATGCTATTAACATTGAGTATATTGCATGAAGGGTGGGGCGCGTGCTTATAACCACAGGTTGAATTTCGTTGCCACGCAACGGATGTACGGTAAATCATCCGCGAAATTTAAATCTTCAAGAGAAGGACCGTGCGTTTGGCTGAATAGTCACTACCACACAAAAGTTCCCGAGGGAAGAAAAAAAATCAGCTGCACTCCCAAGTCTCAACAGAAGCGTCGTTCAGCTGGAAGGTTAGTGTTGCGCCTTAGCTGAAAGAGTGCAAAGCCAGCTATTTCAAACATAGCAGAAATGAATACAGATGGGTGAAATTTCCAAACTTGTCTTGATGAAAATGAAGGGCCAACAGTTGTGCTATTCCCCAGCAGAAACGGTCGGTTTACAGAAAAAAAAGCAATTCAGTCACACAATCGTTTTTGCACGCTTTTACATTGCAATCTGATGGAAGGATCTAGGCCCTTTTGCACTCAGAGAGCTACGTGGCAAGCATACGAATTTCCATGCATACAAATTCCCTCCTGCTTTAGAGCGCGCACAGAATAGATTCCAAAATACGTCACTCGCTGAGCGGGACGCCAGTGCTTTTTTTGTTTGTTTGTTTCAAATTTAAATTTGAAAACAAATAAAAGCATTTCACGAAATGAACGTTCCCAAAATAAATCCAAATAAATAAATTGTTTGCTGAAGGCACACCAATTTAATATGATGCATTTGAATTACAATAAATGCAATTTTGCAGTTTGTTCTATGCTAGGATATTGCAGTTGTTTTATTCAGTTCATCCAGTTTACTGAAATGACCGGACTAAATATAATATAATGTTTGCATGAAAGTCTACAAAGAAAGCGGTAAATGGGTTGTCTATTGAGGCAATAATCACGTCGCTGTGAAGATTTATGTCAAATACTTATTAAA